TTGACACTTTCTTGATACATTTATATATTTAAATGATGTTTCGTTACATTTTTTTGTATAAATTTTCGTTGATAAAATAAAATAAAAAGTCAAATCACTTTATGATGTACTCTCCATCTCGTGCCAAAATGCATACTTTCCAAATTGGACGTTCCAACCCAAAAGACATACTTTTAGTTTGGCATACCATTTTTTTACACTTTTTCAATCACTTTAACATACTCTCACATTACTCTCTACTTTATATTTTCAATCACTTTTACACTTTCACACATTCTGACATAACTACTTTATATTTTCAATCACTTTTACATTTATTCTTACACAAAATCAACTCGTGTCTGCCCTTTGGCACGCGGCGGATCGGTGGGAGTAAGATGTAAGTACGGAGTATATAGATTCGTCCTTAATTGTACACTATTTTTTAACTAAATTGATTTTAAAATACTTTGAATCAAACAATGTAACCTACAATCGCAACCTTTTTTGAGAGCAAGGAAGTGTGATTCATACATACTCTGTGTAATGTTTTCATTTATTTTTTTTGATGAATATCAAGAAAATATTCTCTCTTTGTGGATGACAAATTTTAGATTTTTGGATTATGGTGCTATTGTTTGGTCGAAATTTAAAAGTGGTTTTTATAATTTAAAAAGATTTTATGGGTTGAGTGTCACATTACTAAATAATTAGGAGGAATTATTAGGAATATCATGTACTCCCTCCGATCCTTAAAGTCGTCCCCTTATTGATTTTTTGGGAAATTAAGGGAGAGATATTTTGGTGTTGGCTTTCCAAAAATACTCTTGATGTGATAGGTAAAAGTAAGATGTGATAGATAAAAGTATGATGTGATATGTAGGGTATGAAAAAATAAGGAGTAAAAGTGATTTTTTTAATAGATAAATGAAGAAATTAGTGGGACAAGCTAAGAAAAAAAGGGGAAGGAGTTTAAGGGACGGAGGGATCGGAGTATATGTTACCTTACTTGCTTATGCTAAATCACTAATACTCCCTCCGTCTTCGAAAGATATTCCCTTATTGACTTTTTGAGAAATTAAGGGAGGAATATTTTGGTGTTGACTTTCCTAAGATACCCTTGATGTGATGGATAAAAGTAAGATATGATGTATAGAATATTAGTAAAAAGATATGATGTGATAGGTAAGATATAAAAAACAAGGAATAAAAGTAGTTTTTAAATAGATATAGAAACAACTTTTAGGGACAAGAAAAAGATGAAAGGGGAAGATCTTTTGGGGACGAAGGGAGTAATATTTGTTATGACGTTATGTTCACCATCCGCGTGCAAATTATGCTACTAACTAAAATGTTAAGTTTGCTATTTAATTGAGAGGGTATTAGCACCAAATTGTTCTCAACAATTTCTCCTTAATTTATGTGTGTTATCTATAGGCTAGAAGAGGAATTTCCATATTATAGATCCTTATGTATACTGTATTGACTATAGATATACCATACTCGTTTTGTATTTTTATTTTCTTTGCATATTTTTACTGCATGCATCGTACATTGTTAAATGAGGAATTTATCTAAATAGGACTAAAACATAATGACTTTCTCAATATATCACCATATGTTTTTATTTCTTAATATAGACCATTGATCATTATCCATTAGTCATTATTTAAGTAAACGACAACCATCACTGAATATCATTTCTCTCACTAGACATTATTAAATAATATTTAGAGAATAAAAAAGTTTTGTCTTTGATGGATACCCTAGAATGGGGGTAACCGTCCCAACAGGAATAACGGCCCAACAAGGCCCGATCCTGACCAAGCGCGCTCGAGTGGACAAGATTGAGAAGGAAACCAAGACCCCGGGGGAGCTACCACATCTGGATACACCCATGCTCGGCCCAGAGAGAACGCGCTCAGCCTCGGATCGTAGTCGGCCGACTCTTCATCGAAATTCCCAGAGACCAGCCTATGCGAACTTGGCCTCAACTTGACTTACCGCTGGCCTGGTCCACAACGTATGGGGACCTGCATGTCTTGTCAAATCAGTGGGCCCGCGGTTGGATTCCTTCCACGCGTCCGTCAGATTAGTTGTAGCTTCCCTATTGTAACTCATCATGTGGAGCCACCCTAGTGATAATCATATGATTGGCTCCGTCGGTCGAACGATTGGATCTTAGTGGGCCCGGCCTGTTAGATCATGGACCAACGGTCAGAAAGGCCCATTTGTAGTTTGTATAGAAGCCCCCACCCCTTCAAGAGAAAAAAGTAGCGGATTGACCCACTAATATCTATAATTTCTCTTGATTCCTAACTTGAGCATACTCGACTCTCATTCGATACTCTTCGCCTAGTTTCTCAGGCCCCCGGGTTCCTTGACCCAAAAGTCTAACATTGGAAAATGAATTAAGTTTTAGTTCTATTTAGTGTAAATTTCAATTGTTAAATTGATTTAGGCATTTGTAGTAGCTAGTCGTAGCTACACAGTTGATGGGTGTATTCCACCCATGACCGGTCAAATGAGAAGTCCAAATAGTTGACCGGTCAATCCGAAAGAACAGGAAAGGGGGACTTTAATCGTCAGCCGAAGGACGCTCTATTGGTCAAAAAATGACCGGTATACTTCAGAAAAGTATACCGGTCAAACTACTACATGGCTTCATTCATCCCTCAAATGCGGTAAACTAACCTTTGGGAAACTACCCGGTGTAGTTTTTAGAGTTGGAAAGCGTCGGCAGAAGAGAATCTAAAAGGGGCTTGGATTGTAGTGACCCATATCAGTGGAGGATCGCTGGAGATGCTGAAGTAATATGTCCAAGCTAGTACGCGACAAGGGCACAATCTCCCTCGCAAGGCGACAAGGCAGCAAGAGGACGAAGGCCATCACCTCCCACCAGCCGAGAACGTGCCTCCACGTGGGTGCATGCGGCTCTGTCCCCTTAGCCTAGTATAAATACTGCTGTAACTCTCAGAAGTAGGGATCCGAATTCATTCTCTCTAAACTCCCTTGTAAAAGCACCCGTGCATTCTCTGTTATAATATAAATTGGGTTACAGGTGTTCCACCTAAAGTCCTACCGGTCACTCTGCGTGTTTTTACCTTTCTTACTTTACCAAATGAATTTCGTTCTTATTTTTTTTCATTTTGTAACTAATTATACTTAGCTTCCCATCATTAAATGAATAAAAATAAAATATCAAAAGTAAAATTAAAGAAAATACACATTTATGATATTATACGTACTTGAAACGTGTATATTAAAAAGATAGTGTGCACATCTAAGATAGAGTTACATATTACTCGGATATATTGAGAAGTACTCCCTCCGTCCCCCTAAGATCTTCTCGTTTTGACTTTTTGCGGATTTTTAAGAGAGTTGAAAAAAGGTGAAAGTTTACCATAATACCCTTAATGAAAATGGGTGGAGTGTATTAAATGAGGTGGGTGAGATGTAATAAATAAAGTAAGTGGGGGTAATTGTGGTATTTTAAGTGTTAAAAAAGGTAATGAAAAGATCTATGGTGGACAAATAAAAAGGGTTAATGAGAAGGATATGGGGGACAGAAAGAGTATTACTCATTGAATTTTGTTGCTGAAATAAATAATGGCGCCTCGATGTGGCACTTAAAGCGAAAGTATATCCTCTCGACCACATCAACGTTGATTCGTCAAGGCGTGGAGGTCGTGGATGTTTGTCCAATTTGTGGTGCAAATAGTGAGATAGAGGAGCATGGGTTTATGTCTTGAGATAGAGGACCAAAATGCCCAACCAAAAAAATACCGCAAAAAAATCAAACCGTACCAAAGTAAATGATCGGTACAATATTTGAGGACACTATGAGATAACTTCTCATATCAAAAATCTAGAACCATAAAAAGTATATTTATCTTTTTATATTTCTTCATTAGATGATAAATTTACATTGAAAATTTAGTTTAAGTTTTACTATGTGTAATAATTAAGTTATACTTTTATTCGAATTTTAATTTTTTTTGTAGATGAATATAAAAATTTACTCTGTAACAAACATTTGAGATATTATTTTGTTATCATTCGTTTTTTTAGTTTGTAAAATATAAACTAATTAAGTTCTAATAATGAGCATATTTTGCATTTAATTATTCATTTTTTTAATTTTTTATATTTTTATTGAAATGTACTTTCAATTTTTCAAAGTAAAGGGGTATTGTTACATTTTAAAGTGTAATTTATATACGTATGCATTCATTCTACTTCTTCTACCGAAACCGATACCCAATTATACTAAAACAATATTTCAGAATCAAAATTGATAGAATGTAAAATCTGATGCTCCGTATTTAGCCTACCATACAATACCATATCCTCCACCCCTATGGTCAATGAAGCAAATTTCAAACTAGGGGTGAGCGTGGTACGGTATTTACCTCGTATCGGTACCGTACCAAATATTTTGGTTCGGTATGAGATTTTACGTTGTACCGATCTCGATCCCGAAGCATTGGTTCGGTATGGTTCGGGATGGTTCGGTTTCGGTATAAATAAGGATAAATATATACGTACCTAGTTTACATCATAAAATGTAACAAAACCTTTTATTTTTTGAAAAATCGAAAGTGCATTTAACAAAAGAAAGTTAAAAATTTTAAAAATGAAAAAATAAAATGCAAGAAATGATTATGAAAGTTAGTTTATATTTCACAAACGAGTGATAACAAAGTATTATTTAAAATATTTGTTAATATTCTTATACTCATCTACAAAATATAAAAAAACTTTTATTAAAGTGCAACTTAAATATAACAAATTTAAACTAAATTGTCTATATAAATCTTTATTTAATGAAGAAATATAAAAAGATTATTATTTTTATAATACATTAGTGTATATGTTCGGTTCGGAAATTTCGGTATGAGAAGTAACCTCGTACCGTTCTCAAATATCGGACTGGCCGTTTGGTTCGATACGGTTCAATTTCTTATCGGTACTTTATCGATTCGATATTTTTCGATACGGTATTATCGGTTTTTTCGGGAAATATCGAGATCGATTCGGTCTTTGTTCACCCCTATTTCAAAGAGAACAAACCAATTCCCAAGCGGAGCTCTATAGTCATTTTCAAACATTCAAGAGTGATGGCTGTCTGAAACGGCGTCGTGGCAGTCTGCACTCCATTGACAAATACTCGAATCAGTTCTGTAATCCGGCCACAGATATCCATTTTTAGTGCATCTCCGATGAGCTTCGCTAAATCTTCTGTTTTCCTCAAATACCCAACAACTTCGATCTGTTTCAATATCTGCAAATCGGAGATTTTGGAATCCGGCTATTGTCGGTTCCTCCGATGAAGAAGAACATGGGTCACCAGCGTTTGTTGGGTGTTCTTGTTCTCATATGGTGTTTGATTTGCCGGAATTGCGGCGCGGCGTGGCTGGAAATGAGGAACGCATCGATGGCTCTGCCGCTGAAGACCCGGAAGATCGAATCTGGCTTCCTGCCTAGAGCTCCGCGGAAGCTGCCCTTCACCCACAACGTCACCCTCACGGTGTCCCTCACCGTCGGTTCGCCGCCGCAGAATGTGACGATGGTTCTCGACACAGGGAGCGAGCTGTCCTGGTTGCGATGCAACGAGACCTCGATCGACCAACCCGTTTTCTACCCGAACCGGTCGGATTCCTACGCGGCGGTTCACTGCTCGTCCCCTACCTGCACTGTCCGGACGCAGGACTTCTCCATACCCGCTTCCTGCGACTCCAAGAACCTCTGCCACGCCGTTCTGTCCTACGCCGACGCTTCCTCATCCGAAGGCAATCTAGCCACGGATACGTTCAGCGTTGCCGGGTCGAACTTCACCGGCACCATATTCGGGTGTATGAATTCCGGTTTCAGTAGCAATTCCTACGAGGATTCCAAGACCACCGGGCTATTGGGTATGAACCGCGGATCTCTGTCTTTCGTCTCCCAAATGGGTTTCAAGAAATTCTCCTACTGCATTTCAAGCTCCGATTTTTCGGGTCTCCTCCTCCTCGGAGACACCAACTTTACCGGGGGCTTACCTCTGAACTACACGCCGCTGGTTCAAATCGACATCCCATTGCCCTATTTCGACCGGGTGGCGTACACCGTCCACCTGGAAGGCATAAAAGTGTCGGACAAATTACTCCCGGTGCCCAAATCCGTATTCGAACCCGACCACACGGGGGCGGGTCAAACCATGGTGGACTCCGGAACCCAATTCACCTTCCTCCTCGGGGAGGCATACGCCGCACTGAGGGGCGAGTTCTTGAACCAAACGTCGGGAGTCCTACGGGTCCTGGACGACCCGGATTACGTGTTCCAAGGGGCGATGGACCTGTGCTACCGGATTCCGGTGAACCAGAGGAGGCCGGTGCGGCTGCCGCCGGTGACATTGCTGTTCAGAGGGGCGGAGATAAAGGTGTGGGGGAGCGGGCTGCTGTACCGGGTTCCGGGCGAGATGCGGGGGAACGATTCCGTCCACTGCCTGACGTTCGGCAACTCGGAGCTGCTGGGAGTGGAGGCGTATCTGATCGGGCACCACCACCAGCAGAATGTGTGGGTTGAGTTCGATCTGGCCAAATCCAGGATCGGTTTCGCTCAGGTCAGATGTGATTTAGCCGGTCAAAGATTTAACGTGTGACAAAAAAAAAACAATCTTTTGAGCCACAAAATGTTGCACTAAGTTGCGTATGTACGTATGACTGTGTAGTTTAACCTCACTCCTCTCATTACTCTGTAATCTGTATTGGTTATCAATAAGGATTTTTGTATTAACATTAATCCAGCCTCCTTTTAAAATAGAATATTAGACAATATTAAATTCAATTTTTAAGAATTGTTATTAATTTATATTCCGTTTTTTGTGTGCCAATACTAATTTAGGTTCCGTTCTCTTCAACTTATTTCTGCTACTTATTATTTATTCTTATCAGTGTCATACCAAATCAAATTTAGTCTTGAAAATTTAATTCAGATGGGCCAAAGAGAAGTAGCCTTAGTCTAGATGGGAGTGTCAACTTTTGAATGACATGTTATCCTAAAAAAATGATGTAAAAATTAAAGAAAATGTATCAATGGACTAGTAACTATATGAGTCCATGCGGGCTGGTCGGGGCCGCAAGACAATATAAACGGGCTAAGGTTTTACCTCAGGCTCGCCCACAAGTTTGCATTAAAATATTTAAAAACACACATTCTATTATACTCTTTTTATCCAAAAGTTATCTTTCATTAAAGGTTATGATATTTGATTGAAATTATTTTAAAATTATTTTGTATGAAAAAATAATGTGGAATTAAAATATAATATCTACAACACTATAGGTGACACTACTATATTATTTTATCAAAGGGATAACAAAATATGTCAACAAAATAAATAAAGTTTGATCTCTTGAATGGTAAATGAAAAGATAATTTTTAGACGGCGTGAGTATAACATATCTCTTTGGTGTACTGATTAAAGCAATTATTATTGTGTAATGATATACTCTCTATGATGTAACAAATATTTATGTCCATTTTAATATGAAAAAAAAATATAAGATACAGATTTGTTTATGATTTAATTTAAAATTTTGATGTAGTATATAAAAAAGTTCGGAGTTGGGCCGCCTTGTGACCCGTTTGGATCACATTCATCGGTCCAAAGGTGGAATCGCCTACCCCAGGCGCCCCCACCCCCTTGCCCGACAGGAATGGTGGAGGATGTAAATCATGGTGACTCAGTCGGTCAAGAACGCTAGACCCGTGCCCACCGCGCACAAGGAGCCTCCTCACCCTTTATGGGATTTTTGGATAGCTCCCACACTGCCGCTTGCGGGATTCGATCCCTGGTCATCGGTCCAAGATTTCACGCTCTTGACCAACTGAGCTACCCATGCAGGCGTTTGGATCACATTCATGTCTGGACGTGAGCATGATGTTTGGCCTTAATTTTACGTGCAACGTGCGGGCTTGGCTATGCCAGATATATGAACTACTACGTACTCCGTAAAAATTAACTTTAGACCTGACCCAAATTCAGTTTTGTGCACGTCTTATCAATGCATATCTAGGGATGACAACAGGTCGGGTTCCGTCGGGTTTGAATATATTGAAACCCGATCCGACTTAGGTCGGGTATTTATTTTTTCGGTTCGGATACGGTTTAAGATTCGATCGGATCGGTTACAGTCAATTTCGGGTTTGAATACTAATTAAAGTATTAATGAAAAATTTAATATTGAAATACATTAGAAAGTTAAATTTTTAAAGATGACATAAAATTTAAGATAATAAAAAAATAATTATGACCAAATGACCCTTAAATATATGGAGTACAAAGAAAATAACACATGGAATATGTCGGGTACAGGTCGGGTAGGTCAAATATACTAACCCAAACCCAACCTGACTAAAGTCGGGTTTGGTTTAAATTTTTTCAGGTCGGTTTCGGATATTTATTTTTTCAGTTTGGATTCGGATATTATAAACTCTGGTCAGGTCGGTAAAAATCGGATTCGAATAGAATTGTCATCCCTATGCATATCTCATGCTTATGATCGAGAGACCAATTATTTCTCCTAGTTATTTTTTTATTATTTAATCTCTTCCTAGTTACAATTGATTTTGGTTTTAAAATTCAGAAGTGGTGATCAACATCGGATTATGTGTTTTTCATTTTTATACCATATCAGAAATAATAGATGCAAACTTGAGTTCTAATTAAACTAGCTTGGTTTTGGTAGGATAAAAAAGTATAGAAAAATGATAGGGTACACCAAAGTTGTACCCCAAATATGAAATATTTGCATTAAATAGCACTAAGGCTTAAGTCATTTCTCTAAATAGCATTTATATTGTTTTCTTCCCTAAATAGCACTCTATAACAGGGGCGGATCTAGGTATAAGCTAATGGGGGCAATTGCCCCCAATGAATTTCAAATTTGTCCATTGTAGTACCTTAAGTTTTTTTTTTAAAAGTTATGCCCTCATCGAAAAAATAAAATGCCCATAATAAAAAATAAATTTTAAGTAAAAATTTAAATATCTACCATTAAAAAAAAAATTTAAAATTTAATTGAGTCAAAATTAAAAATTATTTATAGCAAATAAAATTATAAGAAATATTTTTAAGGTTTTTCATTAATTATTTGAATGCGTTACTAAGTAAAAATAATATTTTTTTGTAAGTTCACATTGCTATTTTGAAGAAAAAACCAAAGCGCTACCCCCGAACCCCCATAGTAGCCTCGCCCCCAGTCCTTGCAATTTCTAGATCCGCCAATGCTCTATAATGTCCATAATGACCAGTGATGGCAAACATTCACTTGAATAATGACTAATAAATAATGACTAAAAGTGCTACATTGAGAAAAAAACATATGTAGTGCTATTTAGGGAAAGTCATTATGTTTTAGTGCTATTTAGGTAAATCCCCCAAATATCCCCCACCTCCTCTTTGTCTACTAAAAAAGACAAAAAAAATTCAAAAAAAATAAGTAAAAAAAATCAAATAAAAATGTGTGGAGGAAAATAGGGTGTTGTACACTTGGGGTACACCTTTTGGTGTACCCCTAGCATTACTCAAAAGTATAAGGTGCATGCACACACCGAATTAGTAATGTGAATTTTTAAACGAAATCATTGCTAATATTTGTAATGTCTTAAATGAGAGAGTCTTGCGGTGTGAGGCAATCATGCAAAGCATGTGACTTCTTCAACTACTGGGTATGGAACCTCACTCTTATGCTAACTGACTGATATTATAACTCAATTTATTTCTTCTCAGCTTATGTTTGGTCGATGTTGAAGGGCCCTTGGGAACAAGATGTCATCATTTTAAATGACTCGGCGCACTTCAAATTAAAGGGGTAGATAGTGTTCACGAAGTTAAATATTATTCTATACTTTTACATATTTTTATTCATTTAGTAAAATAAAATAATTTGTCATTCATTGTTTTATAATTCATCCATTTCAAAGATTCATTCGAGCACCAGCAACGGCAAGGCTTTCAGATGTCTCGCCCTGCCAAATAAGCTTCGATTCTAGTATGCCTCGCGTGGTTGAGACAATCTTCCAATCTTTGTAAGTCATGCGCGAGGCACAATGGCTACCGTTTTTATTTTATTTTTTGCATTCAGAAACGAAGTTTTATCCCTTTGTTCCAAAAATTTGTTCTATTTCAAACAATGTACAAAATATCGTTTCTTTTAAATTGATTTTATACACTAATTAGTAATGAAATTAAAAATATAAGTTATATACCTCGTATTTAAATATCTATACCAAAAGTTCTATAAAACAGATGACGATAATAATATTTTATTTTATCAAATATACCATGCAAAAAGCAACTATCGAAAACCTAAAATAGCAACTAGACCAATTTTTTAGAACGTGTTAGAATATAAGAAACATTTCCAGGGCCACAACCACAAGCTTGAGCTTTTGGTTGAGTTGGTTCTTTAACAAAACGAAGGACGTCTAAAGAAAATAGAAATTGTTTATGAAAAATAAATAAGCAAAATTATTTTTTATTCATTAAATACATTTAAAAATGTAAAAAAGTTACAAAAAATGAATTGCCTGTTGGAATTTTTGGCATTTTAATTGGCATTAAATGGACCAATTTGGGTATATTTGTCAATAGGTCCACTAACGGTTTTAACCGTTTATTAATGGACGTGTGTTCTCTTAAATGAGATAAATGTTTTGACAATTTATACGCCAAAAATGGTAGAGGGTGAATGAGAAATTGATTCTCAGAGTTAACCCGTTAATAAAAGAATATGGTGAGGATTGCAATTTTTGCAATTTTACTGAACCAATCTTCTTTTATTAATTTTACATATTGTTTAAAATTAGTCCATTTTTACGGAGTTAACTGGCCATTAATCTCCAATTATTCGGGACAAATTTTAAACGGAGCGTAGCGTAACGGACGTGTTAATGGCTAATTAATCACCATTAACACACCACTAATGCCATGATTAATTCAATGGGTTAATTGTGTAGGAGTTACAACTTTTTAAACTCCTTTATTATAAAAATCAAAGGCTCTCTCATTTTGTTTTGTGGGTGCCTTGCGTGAGAAAGAGAGAAAGGAAAAGAGAAAACATTTTTTTTCCTTTTTAAAGAGAGCTCTTGGTTTTTCGGCAATCCCCTTTAAAGTTTTTTTTGTCGCCAACGTTCCTACGTTGTTCTTGTTCGTTGGTGTGTGGTTGGTCCGTACAATCTCCACACACGATAGCGGTTTTATCCTGGGAGGAGAGTGCCCACGTTTTCCGGTACGGTAGGCGGGCACTACTACCTTAAGGACAGCTCCGGCGACTCCGCTGTCCTTCCACGGTGTTGTGTTTTTGCAGATTCAGTTCATAAAGAACTCGCTGTATTCTGTCCTGTGCATAATGTCCTCGCAGCCCAGTGCATAATGTCCTCGCAGCCCTGTGCATAACGTCCTTGTATTGCTGTCCAGTGCTTAAAGACCTCGCTGCCCAGTGCTTAAAGACCTCGCTGTCCAGTGCTTAACGTCCTTACTGTCCAGTCCCTAATGTCCTCGTACAACAAGGTTATTTGAAGATATATAAATTTATTTTCAATTCTGTTTATCTTGTAATATTCTGAATAAGTTATAAATTCAGAATTTTATTTATTTTTATTTTCCGAGGCCGTTCATCTTCCCCGTCCGTTGTAATCCGTACAAAAATTGTAACGTTGCCATTGTAAAACATGTCACCCTATTCCCTTGGCACACATTAATAAGATTATTTTTTATTAATTGAAATATTTTATGTCAACGTATAACATTTTATTTTTTTTCTTCTTACAAT